AGAATTGTTGCTTGGTTTTTTTAAAAAAACAATTTGCCATGAGTATCATTTTGGTGAAGTCCTAAGAAAATCATACTGTTGATACCTTTAAGACACTATTGGTCATCTCAGCAGAATGAATGGGAATCACATACACAGATTATAAAACATTGGCCCAGGGTAGGTCTGGGATTTAGATTCCCATGTTTACCCAGTTAGATCACACATATTACACACCCACTGCTTATGTAATTCTACTGCAGTTTCCATGCTCTGCTGCTGCTAGACAAAGTAATGCAGACTTATACTTCAGATATGTAAAATTAAGTTACTATCAGGACCTTCAGGTGTTAGGTTGTAAAGATCAGTGATTCAGAATAATAATCTAAAATATTGCTATTATGTTCTACAAACAAGGAATTGCCCTGCCATTTTCTCTAAGAGTTAATATAATACTATTCCAATCATATTGATAGATGAAATTATTCTCAGAGAGGGTGAGACTATCCAACTGCAGTCATACAACAGGCTCACAGCAGAACCAAGACGTAACTGTTCAGTCAGTGACTCACAGGTTAATATTAAAACACACTGAAAAAGCAAATCTTAGAAATATCTTTCCAACACACTTTTGGGACAGAGCCCATGGTTCCTTTCCCAGATTATGGAGAACCAGGTTCAGAAATCCTGGCTCTAAGGATGGCCAATTAGAAGAGGCTGTGCTCAGGGCACAGATTTACAAAGAAGCTCTGTCTCCTAGAATGAATGACAAATTATGAAGAAAACACAAAACTCAGATCTTAGAAAAGCACTAAAGAATTATGTCATTATACCGACACTTTCAGAAACCTCATTTGTGTGCGCGTTATTGATGAGTTTCTGTTTCAATGTGTGACTGACCCATGGGCAATGATTGGTGGTAATTATAGAGGCTGTTATCATTTATATTATCAGAAAGAATCCTTTAAATACATTATTTTGTTTACCCTGATACTTTCCTTTCCAGAATAATCAAGATATAACTGCAAAATGAGCTTCTAGTTCTAGTCATTCAATCTCACTAATTAAAATTCAAAATAGAATTTTATGGAATTGAAAGTTTAATAATATATGATACAGACTCAGCTTTCAGCAAAGATACAGCAACATGGACATTCATGTCCACATTCATGCCCAGTACAAGCTTTCTAGAAGATAATTGAGCAGTAGGTATCAAGGGCTTTAAGATATCAAAATGCTGACCCATTAAATCCAATCCTTGTTATGGATCCTATGGAAACCAGGATGGATGCAAAGATGTTGACACAAAGATATCTATAACAACAATTTCTACTAAAAAAAATATAAACAACTCTGATAATGGCGTATTATCAGGTCATTAATAGCAAGGGACTCTAGAAAATACTTGTAACTTAATATGAAGTCAAAAGGGTGAGATATAACAATGTACCTAAACTATGAGGGTGTATATGTACATATGATACTGAATGGAAATATACCAAATTAACAGTAATAGTCTTAGGAAAATAACACTAAAGATGAATTATATTTTCTTTTTATTTTTTCTATATTTTCCATTTTTATGAGCTAAGATATATTATTGTTATTATACTAAAATATTATTTTAAGTGGAGTGCTATTGCCATAGCAGTTTGGAAGGTCAGCAATGTGGGGACACCAGAATTACAGTTCAATGTCAAAATAAAACAAGTAATAAATCAACAACTGAAGGCATAGAAAATGGGCGAGGAGATAACCTTTACTAATCCAAAAGACCACACAAGTGAGAAACGCAAGACGCCACAGGAGACATATATTGTGTTTAGAAATAACTTGATATTACCTGTCTTGTTTAAAGTAGATAGCACAGTTGAAGTAGCATCTGAAATAAAAGAATAAAAATTAACCTAATCATTGGCATGATTAATAAACACATGCATCTTCCTAGGTTCCCTAAACATTTCACTCTTCCCCAAACCCTGGAGAAGTTAGAGCATTTTTCAAAAGCCAACTGGACATTACCAAATGTATTTGCTGCCACCCCCCTTCACCACACTACCCATTCTTCAACCCCCAGAGACAATTCCTGAGCAAATATTCATTTGTTCAAAATGTGTTTCCTAAACACGTTATGTGTCTAAAACATAGCAACATTCCTGTAATTATTACATTTAAATAAACTCATTTATGTAGTTTAATATTTTGCCCTTCTCTATTATAATGAAAGTCCATAAGGGATATGATATTGTCACAGTTAATACTAACTTTATAGTACTATGGTTGCTTAATATATTTTTACCTAATGTAGTTCATTCTTATGAAAGAAATTCTAGTTTAAATTTGGAATTCTTGATTATATTCAACTAAATTTTAGGGAAACCTCATTTTCATCTTGTTTCACTTAAAATTCAATTTAAAATCTATTCTATCAGTATTTACTTTAATGGAAAGCATTCTAGAATTTATGATTCTGGATGGAACTTTAGGGGGGAACGGCATGTATTACATTATCACACTTCTTAACCACATAAAATAGGACACAAAAACTGCTGCCAAAGCTATTTTGAAGATGTGCTTTCACTGTAAAAAGTAATTGCATATAAAAATGACAATGCCTGGCCCTTCCCATTAGACCAAAATTGAATTTATACCAGTTTCAATCAGTGTGAGCTGCATTTATGATTGTTTAGCTCTTAGCTGCCAAACACATGGTGAATTTTTATTTTGACTAAAGGGATTGTGAAAAGTATTGGGTTTTGACTGCAATAAGATGGAAGGCTATCTACCCACTAAGGGGAGGGAACAGAATGTGCTGTCCTGCCCCCCTCCCTCGAATATAACCCAGTTCTTTGTCCTTTTCTTCAGCATAATGGAGCTTGTTTTTTTATTTATTTTATTTTATACTATTTTAAAATGATAAATCATCTGTAAAAAGGCTGTCTTTGAACACTTTGTGCCTCCAAATCCATGCTGAATCATATTGAAGTCACTGGATGTGCTTTTCACATTTAAACAATCTGTCATATAAAAAAATGTGTTGGAATTGTGTTGGTGAGCAAGCGAAATGGGGTACTCAAAATGTGGTCAAAATTTATTTTAAAAAATAGATTTTTATTGCTTTCAGAGAGGAAGAGAGAGAAATTGTAACATCGATGAGAGAGAATCATTGATTGGCTGCCTCCTGTACACCCACACTGAGACCTGAGACGGTAACCCGTGTATGTGCCTTGAACAGCAATCTAATGTGACCTCCTGGTTCATAGATCAATGCTCAACCACTGAGCAATGCTGGCCTAGCAACATTTCTTTTCTCTTACAGAACAGCTAGAGAGATGGAGGGCTATCTTCCCTCCATGATAATAAGAATTTTCTCATTTAACCAGAAAGTTTAGATTGCCCTCCAGGTTGTCAGTCTTGGGTTTCTTTGGGTTTTTCTTTTTTTATTATTTGAATATAGAAACTGCAACACCATTCATTATACTTATATTCATATTCATGGTTATCAATTTTCACTTGCTTCGGAAAAATTCTTACCATTTAGGCTTGTAGTTTCAACCTCTTTTGTCCCAAGGGGGGGGGGGGGGAAACAATACAAAGATATAATTAAATAAAAAAATTAACAAATTGGGCTAAATCTAGATTTAAATTTTTTTCAAAATCTTGCCTGGAGTACCATTGGAGTATGGGACAAAACCAATAGGAGAGTCGGCTGCAGGAGAAAACACACACGTTTTTCAAATTAATACTTTGAAACAATTATTTATTGAATTTCAAGGAGTTAGATTTTGAGATATAATCATGAAAAGAAGTAGAAAACATGAGACCAATATGTAATTAAATCCGCAAGTCCTATAATCACTAGTATGCCTTTAATCAGAGAATTATAGAGAAAGAACCCAAGGGATGATATTAGTGCAATTGTATCATTTTACAGATGAAGAACCTAAGGTTCATGATCACAAAGCCTGCTCCTACTTATGGGATATTTTGGAAATAAGTTTAGGGACAACAAAATATAAGATATACTACTTTCGAAAGTTTCAGCCAAAGAGTTCTAGAAAACATTTTATACTTTAAATATTTTTCAAGCTACAATCATGACACATATTGGTACACTGGGTCCATTTGGTTATAATGACACCTAGCAATTCTTCCCATAGGATTAAAAAACAAAATAAAGCATTGCTATAAAAACAAACAAACATTGCTTTCACTCAATACTGTATTACCTAACACAATTTCCTGGTATGTTATTTAAAAATATGGCTGCTATTAAGATAATCGAGTTGTAAATTTACCGTAGAATAACTCCACTTATGCTAAGGGCTCAGTGTACTACACACACTTTGCCAGTTTATATATTAAAAAAGATCCCATGGCTTGACCTCTACATATACACAAGAAAAGTAAACACACATATTTTACAAGGAAGCCAAGCTTTGCAGTAGGGAGCGTGATATTTAGCCCGTAAGGACAACATTTGGGTGTGTCAAGGCACTTGGCTGGACTGTCTGTTTTAGACCGCTCATGCCTTGGCTGAAACACACACACCCTGTCTGCCCTACATTATTCATTCCATATTTTGTCATTTACTACATTTTTTTAAATTACCAAGGATATTTTTTCAGAAGTAAGACAGTTCCTGAGCAGTAAGATTCAAAGTGTGGACATGGAATCCTTTGCTCTTGTGGCAGAACAAAATAATTGGTCAAAGCTGGTTTTTAATTAATGACTCTCGGTTTTTCTAAGTATTGATGACTGGTGATGCCATCCAAAGAAGAGGCCTGCAGGCAAGATGCCCTTCCATCCCTGATGTGCACTGGCTCTTACCTTCCAATTAGTGCAGCTCTCCCCCAGGTACCCAGAACCCAGGCTGTGACTGGACCCAAAGGCCCATATACCATTCCATGGAAACAGAATGTTGCAAAGATATTGCTCTGGTTAAGTCTGATGAAGGCTATTGTACCAGAAGAAACATTACAGTGGTTTATTTTACCCTAGAAGCTTCACAATGAGGAGGCAAAATGGCACAGTAAAAAGAGCTTGGGATTTGGAAACTTGCAGTCCTGAGTTTGAATCTTTGCCCCATTGTTTAATAGCTCTGAATAATGATAGTTACTACTTATTGAGGATTTACTCCATGTCAGGCACATGTTTTATTTCATTTAACCTCCACAATTACCCTATGAAAAAAGTTACTATCATTCTTCCCAATTTACAAAGAAGAAACAGAGGCACAAGAGAGGTGAAGGAACTTGCCCAAAGTCACACAGCTAGAAATGGGGATAGGAGAATGGTGGCTGAATTCATACCCAACTAGTCTGGCTTCAGAGAATGTGTGAACATGGACAAGTTTTATCCTTTCTGACCCAGGTTTTCATCTCTAACATCAATATAATGATTCCTATGTTGCAAGATTGAAAGCAAAATGAAATTCCTGAAGACTCCCTGACATGTAGTACATGCACAAGAAGTAATAGCTATTATTATTTTGTTTAAATGAATTAATAACAATAGAATCTCATTTTCACACAACTGAGAATATGGTGTGAGTTGTCTCACGCCTTACCACAGAGGATTGTTCTATAATATATGATATATCAGAAATAATACAGAAGTCAGAGTCAGAGAAGCCACCTCTGTGTGCTGTGGGGTAAGAACTGTGTGACCCTAGACAAGGTACTCAGGTGCTCCAGGCTTCATGTCATCAACTAAGTAATGCAGGGCTGGACCACTTTATCCCTGAGGTCCCATTCCAGCTAACAGACCTGAGTATAGATTCTGTTCCTGGTTCCCATCAAGATGGGCCCTAGATATAAATTTCTCTTTACTGTGTTTGCCTCTCCATTCTTATGAGTGCTAAGCCCTCATAAGCCTTTTGAAAAATATTCATTCAGTGAAGGAACTTAGGACACTTAAGAGAACATCTCATCCTTCAAATATAAGAACATTAGCATGTTTATGTTCTTGATGCTCTTTAGACTTGTGAACTATAATACTAAAAACAACATTGAAGAACTTAAACAGTTACTGTAATGAAAATCCACAGTTTACTCCCCAGCTTTGTCCAGCCATGTGAGGGAACAATATGCTTGTCCTCTTATGTTTGCTACTGGCTTTTCAGTTATAGATTTAATTCAGAGTTTAATGTAATTCAGAGTCATGAAAAAAACACCACCACCACCACCACCATTTTGTTGTATCTGACTACATGCCATATTGCATGGAGAACTTTTAGACTATTTTCCTGAAATTCCCCAAAGTCATGAAATAACAGTCTTACCAGACGGTGATAAACTGGGATTATCAGCATTGTCTGTTGAGGAAAAGGGTGATTTAAAATTAATTTAGTTTGTATAAATCCATAGGAGAGTAACATCTTAAAAGGGAGTGAATGTAAAATAAGTTGCAAATAGCTACCAAAAGAGGGCAGTATGTTAATTTATTATTATTTTTAACAGCCTAATCACTACTTCTTTTCAATTCTCTACAAAGGCATATCTCAGGTGAAGCAATTCTTCCAATTTAACTGTTAACTGTGTCTATATGTTTTGTTATATAATAGTTTATTATGTTTTAAACTAAAAATGATTAAGAAGACCTTTAGTTGTTGGCTAACATTCATTATAATTTGTAAAAGTAAATGTATACATCTGCATAAATTAAATTCCCATTAACTGTGTTTCCATTTATACCTATTAGCACAGACTTTATATTATTAAGCTACTTCTTTCTTATGAGCTAAACTAAATCAGATACCTCTGGGTGTATAAACTACAAGAACTGCTGTATTATTTATTTTTTGAGGGGATAGTCAGATTCCATAAAAGCAAAGTAATTCTATTTTTTATCTATTAACAATAATACATACTTATTGGAGAAGCTTCAGAAATTACAGATAAACAAAAAGGAGAAAATTAAAACCACCTGTAATTTCACCCCAGAGATAAATTACATTAACATTCTGACATATATTCTTTTCTCTTTCTATGTATATATGTATATGTATATATTTATATGTATATATTTATATGTATATATAAATATCTATATATCCATATATCCATATATCCATATATCCATATATCTATATATCTATATATCTATATGTCTATATATCTATATATCTATATATCTATATATCTACATATCTATCTATATCTATATCTATATCTATATCTATATCTAAATCTATATCTATATCTATTCTGTTAACCCTAGAATAAAGTGGGGATTAGGAGCAATAATCTCCTGCACAGTTGAAAACTCACATATAACTTTTGACTCCCAAAAAACATAACTGATAATAGCCTTCTGTTGACCAGAAGAAGCCTTACTAATACATAAACAGTCGACTAACACATTTTTGTATATGTATTATATGCTGTATTCTTACATAATGTAAAGTAAGCTGGAGAAAAGAAAATGTTAAGAAAATCATAAGGAAAATACATTTATGGTATTTATTGAAATTATCCACATATAAATGGATACAGTTCAAACCAATTTTGTTCAAGTTCAACTGTATAAAGATAAATGGATATATGCATATATATATATATATATGTGTATGTATGTTTTTATATGTATGATAAGAAAGATCATTTCACACAAACTATAACCTGATTTTTCTCCATGTACCCAGAGTAGTTAATGACTTGATAGCCTAATTTAGTTGAAATTGCCTCCTCTTAGTCTTTGCCCCTTAATATATCCCTCATGTTACTTTAATATTCTACCCGTCAAAGGATATGTTAAGTTAGCAGAAGTTTAATTTTTAAAATACTCTTGGGAAAGAGCTGGTTCTTTCAAAAGATAAACAAGATTGATAAACCTTTAGCTAGACTTATCAAGGAAATAAGAGAGAGGACCCAAATAAATAAAATCAGAAATATGAGGGGCTATAACAATTGACACCACAGAAACACAGAGGATTACACAACAATATTATGAACAACTATATGCCAATAAACTGGACAACCTGCAAGAAATGCATAATCTCCCAAACCTGAATCAAGAACAAACAGAAAATCTGAACAGACCAATTTCAACCAATGAAGTAGAAGCAGTAATAAAAAAAACTCCCAATAAATAAAAGTCCTGGACCACAGTTGAATTTTACCAAACATTCAAAGAAGAATTAAGATCAATCTTTCTCAAACTATTCCACATAATTCAAGAGGAGGGAAGACTCCCAAACTCATTTTATGAGGCCAGCATTATCCTAATTCCAAAACCAGATAGACACTACAAAGAAAAAAAAAGTATAGGCCAATATCCCTGATGAACATAGATGCCAAAATCCTCATCAAAATATTAGCAAATCTAATCTAATAATACATTTAATAGATCATAAATCATAATCAAGTGTGATTTATTTCTAGGATGCCAGGTTGGTACAATATCTACAAATCAAGTAATATGATACACCACACTGAGGAAGAGTTGAGTTTCAGGGAAGAAGGATAAAGAGTGATGCTGAAGGGCAAAAGAGGCTAATAATGGCTGTTATAGCCACCAATCGTTCCAACCTTCTCCATTGCTAAATCCTTTGAGCAGAGCTGTGATTTGATGTTAGATGTTAGAGGACACGGACTAGTCAAGCATAAAATTGGTTGACCATCTCTGTGTTGGATAGGCATGGGCTCACAATCAGGAGGTAAAACCTGATGAAAATTTAGCCCAACTGTTAGACCGGTCTAATCCACATGCAGAGCTCCCAGGAGCAATGTATAGTGATGACGGGAGGAAATCTTGTAAATAGAAGCTAGAGATTTAAAAATTGTTTCTGCCATTTTATTTCTTTTGTCATTTTTTTCTTCTTCTAGGGGACTGATTGCTCAGTGACTAATATTTTATTCACTTTCTGCCTCTCATTATGGTGCTCCACATCACTCCTCCTGTTGTAACATAGAGATGTCCCCATAGGCCTTACATTTCCTGAGTATCAGCCTCTGTTTCTCTTGGGCTCTCTCCTAACTCACTTCCCATTTATTATAACCAAAGAGGTGGTCGACATTTCCAGTGAGTCATATATTTGAGTTCCATGCCATTCTTAGGAGACAAAATATTTCCATTGTTAAAAAGATTCATAAACAAAGAAAGGGAAAACAGTTAAATTTTTCAGATTTTCCTTTGGAAAGCAACAAAGAGAAAATTTTAAAGCATTATTCATTTATTGAAGTCTTGATTTAAGTCAAAAAATAAAATTATTGTGATGTGTCTATAAAATGTACTCAGTATGACTCCCTAGTGATTTAAAAAAAACACACAAAACACCAAAGTCCATATATTCCAATTATGATGAGCAGGAGTTTGGCACGCATAAACTTAGCATGGAAGCCAAACAGAGGAATTGGAAACTCAAGGAACTGGCTCCACTAATGGAGCTTCTTTCCTAGTTTCCTCCCTGAGACTTGGTTTCAAAATTATTGCTACCTCCCAAACTCCAATCCCACATGGCCAAGTGTGGTCTGACCACTGCCATGTAAATGCCTGTCATTGGCTCTCCAACTCCATATATCTAAGAACTTATCTTTCATCACCTCACATCATTTTCATATCTAATCAGTTCTTGAATTTAACAGTATTGCTGGTAAAAACCAGCCAAATAATTTAAGCTGGAAATTCCAGTATATTAGTTTTCTGTTGCTGTTGTAACAAATTACCACAAATTCAGTGGTTTAAGACGACATAAATCTGTTATGTTAGAGTTCTATAGGTCACCAGTCTACAACAGGATTCATTAAGACTAAAATCAAGGTGTTGACAGACTGTGTTCCTTTCTGGAGGCTCTAGTGGAGAATATGTTCTGCTTTTTGAGGGTTTTGACAGAATTCAGTACCTTGAGGTTGTAGGACTGAGGTCCTCATTTTCTCACTAGCTTTAAATTGAGGAATTTACCAAAATCTGGAAGCCACCCACATTTCTCATGCCCCATTCTTCCATCTTTAAAGCTAGCAACTGTGGGATGGGGTGGGGAGTCCTTCTCATGTGCCATCTTTCTGACTCACGCTTCTGCCTTCCTCTTCCACTTTTAAGAGTTCTTGTGATTAGATTGGGCCCATCTCCCAGTCCGTAACTTTAATTACACCGAGAAAGTCCCTTTTGCCATGTAAAATAATATATTTACAGATTCTAGGCATTGGGACATGGATATCTTGGGGGAGCCATTATTCTTCCTACCATATTCAGAAAGCCAGTATTTTAAAATTATGAATAATACTAGTGTCACAAAATTCATGCACATTAAAAGTAGATTAATTAAAGGAAATAATTCAATATTGCTATTTGCCCTTTCTCTATAATAGAAGTGTCAGAGATGAAAGAAAATTAGTAAAATGTATATGAAAACCTTCCTCCTGTCAGAGTTTGAGGCGCACCATGGGACCCAGAGTCAAGTCCCTGCCCACCACATGCGCCTCAAAATCAAGTGAAAGACCCAGATCCGGCCGCCTGCCCCCCCCCCAATTGGGCTAATTCAGACCCCGCCAGTCCCACCCTTGTCAAGCCCTGCCAGGCAGGGGGAGTAGCCTCATGTCGCCTGGCCCAGAGCAGTGGGGGGTGGGGGGGTGCCTTGAGGTCTCTGTCAAGCCCCGCCAGGTGGGGGACACGGCCTGATATCTCCTATCAAGTCCTGCTGGGTGGGGGCTGATACAGCTTGAGGTCCCCAGGCCTGGTGCTGGGGTGGGAGGCGCAACCTGAAGTCCCCTGTCAAGCCCCACCTGGTAGGGGGCACAGCCTGAGGTCCCCTAGTCGGGCACCAGGATGGAAAGCACACCTTGAGGTCCCCCATCCAGCCCTGCTGGATGGGGGAGGGGGTGGCCTCAGTTCCAGATCACTCTATTTAAAAATCACAGCACTTTCCCCCTTAGCCTGATCCTTTCCATACTCCTATTCACAGCACTCCTTGCCAACTAATGAGTACGTATATTATTATCTATGTGTGTGCAAACACACACAAAACCCCAAAAGTGGGTGCCTTCTAACATTTTTCACTTGCTTCATCCTAGTCCCAGCCCTCTGTAATATAGAAGGTTTTTTTATGCCTACAAAAAACAATTTTCACCCCTATGAGGATGATATTGCCCCCGTAGAGAATGCATACTCTAGGATTATCTCTGTTTCCTCCTGAAAAGATATAGCTTATAAAAATAATACTTGCTTGGGTGCACCCTCCTCCCTGAGTCCCACTAATGTCTAAGGTGACTCTGCTATTGGTTGACATATTCTTTCATGACAAAACACCTGTAATTTATGGGTTAGTGTGAATTTCTTATGGTAGAGTTTTAAGTGCAGAAGCACTTGGTGAGATGGAGGTGAGGGCACTAGGGGTTAGGATATGGAGTTTCTGGTCTCCCTTAGATCACACCACTCTTTGCCAGCTCTCAGTTGAGCAATAACCCCTTGGCATCTTAGTTTAGGTTATCTGGGGTTGCAGAGTCAATGATAAGGACTCAGTAACAAATGGACTCTCTATTCTCCCTTCTTCCCAGCCCCTGAACCATTATCCTTTCTCCCCAGCCCCTGACACAGAACAATATTTTTATATAGCTATGAAATAAACAAGGAGAATGATCTGAAGTGGGAAGGCCAGAGTGTGCTACTGCAATAAATTGAGCAAGACATGATGAAGACTTGAACTTGTGCTTCAAAAGCTAGCATAAAATCAGAAGTTCAACAGATACTTCTAAGGTAAGATGAGAGGATCTGGGGGTGGGGGCCATTCAGATGTGGGGATGAGGGGGATGCAGGATTTAGCTGCCAATGGTTAACCCCTCAAACCCCAACAGTCCATGTGACATTGCCCTGAATCCCTCAAGTGTGGTAGGAAGGTTAAGAACCTAGACTCTGAAATTCCAAATCTACCACTTGTTAATTTTGTAAACTTTTGTAACTTTGGGTAATTTATGTAATCCACCTGACACTTGAGTTTCCCATCTAGAAAATAGGGGTGAAGATAATCATAATATGACATACGTTATAGGTACTACTATTACAGCATTGAGAAGAATACGCAATAAAATACTGCTCATGTAAGTAATTAGTACAGTGATGTTCTATTTCTCATTTTCCTAGTGACTTTTTAAAAAATGATTTCTCTCTTCTATTGAGCAAGACTGCCACTTCAGTTTCTTTTCTCTTTATCCCACTTGTGTCAAACTGCTCTTGGGATTTTCAAAATGCCCTTGAGGTCATTTTGGAAACATGTGAGGAAAGAGGCAGAAGTCAAAGGGTTTCAGATCTGGTGACCATATCTTGTTTCCTAAGTTCTTGTATACAAGTCAAGACTCAGCAAAGTTTCAGGGAAAAATTGGAAAGCACAGCTGATCATGTTATTAGGTTGTCCTCTAGTTGGGTGCACAGTCTCCCTAGGTGCCAGAAGCCAGTTTCAGCAAGTCATAATTGCAAAAGTTTGATGGAATTTGGGGACTCAACAAGGGCTGAGTCACATATGTTATCACCTGTTGGAAATGGCTAAAGGCATTTCCCTGATCCTGAAAAGGATGATTGTTTCCTGCCAGACTGCTCAGGGCATCTTAATCTACATGTTATTGCCTCCTGTTGGCCAAACACCTGAACAGCTGAAGGAAATTCCCCAATCTGACCATACTTCTGTACGAAACCCTTCCCTGTGAAGTGTATATCTCCACCTTACCTCAGGACAATTAATGTTAATAAAAAACAAGGGGTCCTGAGACAAGGAGAACTTGGTTTCTTCAGCCAAGCTCCTCTGTCCCCCGGCCCCCATATGCCTTTCAACATTATATTTCATCTCTAGACTCTTATTTAATCTATGCACAGCCCCTACTCCAGATTCCAGAACGCTTCTAGATGCCGGATCAATACCACTGGTGTTAAATTGCACCCAACATCTGGCATTACCTACGGGTCATAGGCTGGTTTCTAAAAATTAACATTAATTTCTTTTCTGGTTATAGTAATGTGGGTTTACTAGGATGTGGAGAAAATTCTAAACCACAGAACAAATGAAAAAAATAATAACTTTTAAAAAATAATGTTGGCTTGTTGTATGGATCTTTAGAATATCTTTGGGCCAGTTTTCAGAACAGAAACAACTAAATATAGTATTGGGAGATGTTAGTATCATGTTTTATTTAGAAGTATTAACAGATACAAAATTGAGCTCATTAGCTTTCTAGTATGTGTGCTGGCTTTGTAATGTAACATCATGACTAGGCTGAGCTACATTTCCAGAATTCCTTTTTTTGTGTGTTTCTGGGCAGTGTGGAACACAGGGGAGCTTCTTGTGGGAATTTGGGTAGAAGTAAAGTAGCAGCCATTGTGTAGCTCTCACATGTTGACATTTATCAAGTGCTTCACATTATTAATATGAGGGAGCTAACAGCTTTGGCTTCTCAGATTCCTGGGCCAGGTATGTATTTAATTTTGTGCTGAAGGGTTCAGCTTCTGCAGAAAGGTCACAGGCAATAAGAACTAACACGGTTTTCAGTCTGTTTTGTGGCTACAACTCATGCTTGTTGTTTCAGCTTGTTCTTGCTCTCCCCATCTTAGATACATGCTCCCTTCTTTGCTGCCTGCCTTTCATAGATGTCAAGTTCTAGCATCAGATATGAATATAACAGCTTTATAGAGACTGCTTAACCAGCTTCCACGGTTGTATAAAATCAAATCCCTTTGACAAATGTGTGTGTGTGTGTGTGTGTGTGTGTGTGTGTGTGTGTGTATGAGTGTGAGTGTGTCTAGTGATTCTTATTCTCTGATTGAACCCTGACTTATACAATATGAAATAGAAAAGTTCTGAAGCAATTAGAGCAAATAGTTTATAGCCACACTGTTCAATACAGTAGCTACATGTGGCTATTTAAATTTAAAATAATTAAAGTAAAATAAAATTTAAAATTCAGTTCCTCAGTCACTTTTCAAGTACTCAACAGCACTTGAGCCACATGTGGTTGGTGGCTACTGTATTTGGCAGTATAGATATTTGACACTTCCACTATCATAAAAAAATTATATTAGACAGTGATGGTCTCTAGTGATAATGGCTAGTATTTCCTGAATGTTTACAATATCTCAGATGCATTGCAGGCATCTGTTTTACATGCATCAACTCATTTAATCTGCATATGACTATGAGAGGGGTACTGCTACTTTATAATAAACTGAAGCACAATGACCTTGTTACAGTCAGAGTTACATGCCATATTGTGAAGGTCCCAGTGGCCTAGGTTGGCACAAAGGGAGTAGGTGGCCTGGTGGAGGCTCCTGCTCTCAAATGAATCTCTTCTAATTAGATAATGAGCATCTCAGCAGTGACCATAATGGACTTTTTCTTAGATTGTATAGACCTGGTTTCCTATGTGATCTCAAAAAAGAAAAGATGCCTATCCCCTCCACCACCACCCCCCCCACACACACTTCCAACAACGCAATGAGATGTACCAAGAACCCTGGTGAAAAAGGCTCACACTCAAATTTATTAATTAAGATAAGGCAAGTTGCTGCAATAAATAAACCTGAAATCTCAGGGGCTTAAAAAGTCGAAGTTTATTTTCCATGTGTAAAGTGCAATCAATAGCCTAGAGTGGAAGGTAGAGTGGGGCAGAGAGAAGGGTATCTGCTCCCTACAGTTACTTAGGGGCCCAGATTGACAGAGACCCTGCCATCTTCAACATGAAGATTCTAAGTTTTCTCTGGAGAACAACATGCAGCAGGCAAACAGTGAGGGGAATTAGGTGGGAGATATTTAATGGCTAGACCTGGAAGTGGCAAACATTGCTTCTGCCCACATCCATTGGCCAGAAATCAGTCACATGGCTACTGATTGCAAAGAAGGCTGAGAAATGTAGTCTTTACATGTGCTGAAGGAAAAAAAAGTTTGATGAACTTCCACATCAGATTTAATTTGAATGCTGTGGAGTAATGAATACCCATTAAACTAATAATGGAACAAAATTAATGCTAAAATCACTTTCCCACCTACTGTTTTCTCTCTTGGTCAAAAGTCAGGTAATCAATGTGAATCAAAAAAGACTTTTGCCACTTTGAGAGTAAATATATATCCCCCCCCTTTTAATTTTATTGATTTTGGTATCACATAATTGTCCTTCTCATCTCAAACCCCTCCCCAAATATGCCTCCACCACCCTGTTGTCCATGGCCACTGGCTAGGCCCATATGCATGCACACAAGTCCTTTGGTTGATCTCTCCCCCTTACCCTCACCCTCCCCTACTTTAAATCCCCCCATTTTTGTGACTCATCTTCCAGGCTTTGTTCCCAGAAAATGTCCATATTACGGTTTTGTCATGAACCTCAAGAGTAGGACTCTCACATGACGAACCAGTCTTATAAACAGATACATACTAGTAAAAGGTACTACAAAAGACTGGGATTATGGATAGTTATTCTGCATCCTACTTAGTTGGAAATGTAGTATTTCTGAGTTGCCTCTATTTTGAAGCCTAATCTTAGCTGTTGCACTTCTGGGTAGAAGGTCCTTAGCAGGCCCTTAAGCCTTTGTAATGTTTGTGACTCCTGTTCTAATGTCTTATTATATGTCTTTAGCATGTCATGAGCCTTGAAAGTCTGATCTGGGATTACTCACTTTAAATAACATCAAATTCTTGACATGGTAATATTTTTCATATGAATAAAATGTGCATGTCCATTTTTTCCAATGGATGAATCCTAGCTCTGTATGGAGTAAGTTTCTAATATTTCTCTGTTTATATTTCATCATCTGTAAAATGAGGTTGGTTACTTTTAACGTAATTACATTACATTTATAAATATTTTATCACAGTTCAACAATAAGTTACAATGATTATTAATTCAGATTATATGATTTTGTGTTCCTGGATAAAGTTTACATTTATGTAATAAATTGTTTTGCATCAAGTAAAAAAGATGGTTACTTTCCAAGATTTGCATGCATATAATTTTCATTCTGACTATAAAACATTCTTATCTATTCACTAATGCTTGGTTAGTGAGGATATCTATATATCTATATAGATATAGATATAGATATAGATATAGATATAGATATAGATATAGATATAGATATAGATATAGATATAGATATAGATATAGATATATAAAAGTCTAATATGCTAAGTGTCCTACCTATCTGTCTACCGGTTGGTTAACTGCTAGGCCAGTTGCTATGACACACACTGACCACCAGAGGGTGGATGCTCCAACTGGTAGGTTAGTTTGCTGCTGAGGTCCAGTTGATGTGGACTGGGTGAGATGGAGCTGGACACGCCCTGGATCCCTTCCACAGTCCCTTCCTGGCTGGCCGGCCCCCATTGACCCCAATCGGGACTGGCTGAAACAGCCCCGATTGCCAGCCAGGCTGAGGGACCCCACCTGTCCATGAATTCATGCACCAGGCCTCTAGTCTATTGTAAAACTGTGTTTATCTAATTTAAGTTTGGTAGTTTATAAAGACCATCGAGTTCCATCTTTTCACATTACATATTAGGAAACTAAGTTCATATAAATCCATTTCAAAAAGGCTTAAAGATGACTGATACAATACTGTAAATCTAGAAAACTGGCAAAGGTAGTCCCTTATATTATATTTCATTATTTCAAAAATTTTTTATTTACCCACAATAGACAGCATGAAAAATTTAGAGTGTGATGTTTGCTTTGTTTGAAGTTATGCTCGTACTGTTTTTTGCTGCTGATTATACACACTGGAAACCGTTATATATGTCTTTGCTCAACACATAAATGGGGGGAAAAATTTTACTTAAATCACTTGAAAGTTAGTATCTTTTAGGACTTGGAGTTCACTAGAAGAAAAGAATTACAAAATATGTCATATGTAAGCTAGTCTACAAGTAAGGAAACAAGCTCAGAAATGTGAAGAGATTTGCCTAAAATCTATTTATTTATTCCAATTTTTGAAGGCCTACTATATGCCAGACACTGGGCTTATGCAGGGAATAAAACAAAACTCATGGCCTCAAATAGAGTTTTTATCCTGGGTATATTGTACAACCCACTTAAAAGTGTTAAAATTCTACTTTGAAAAAATCCTATAACTGAAAATTCTTCAATAATTCAAACTCATCTCTCCATGCCAATATGCTAAAACCCAGATTTTGTTAGACTTAATGTGAATTCAATTCACTATGATAATAAATCATATTTTCTAGTAGGAACAAGGCAAAAAAAAAGGCTATATAGTTAAAACTCAACACAGCCCTGTGCTCAGTTCTTGTTTATTCAAGGAATC